GAATTGGCTTTGCCTGTCTTTTTGAACTTGCTATAAACAGAATCACACAGTAGGTACCCTTTGTGCCAAACTGGTCTCATTTAATATATATTTGCAAGAATCATCATGCTGTTGTTAGATGTAGTTTCTTGGCACACATTGTTGTTTAATATTGTATTATTTATGCATCCACTAGCTGTGTTGAGAAAGATGGGCAGTCCCTTCCTATGCAGTTTACAGCTTCTGAAGACCCACTGGAGGGTCAGCTATGAGTTGGTTCTGACTGGTGATGGTAAGTGAATGAGATTGCTGAGGACATTGGGTTTGTATATAGTGTGGGCTTATTAGAAAGGGAGGTTTTTAGGAGCATTCCAGTGTATGTCTTCTGCGGAAGATAAGTAGACATTTCTATTGGGTAGATACTGAAGAATGGAATTGTTGGGTCATGGGGACATATGAAGGCTCAGCTTCTGAAGCTATTGCGAATCAGTCTTCAGAAATGGTTGCACCCATTATAGTCTTGCTTGCTGTGGACTAATATTCCAATTACTCTACCTTTTTGCACACACTGTGATGCTGCCTTTTTCATTTAGCCACTCCACAAAGACTCAAAGGGAGCTCTGGCAGCATTGTTGTTGTTGTTGTTATGTGCCGACAGCCCTAAAGTCTGCTCTGTCCTGTGCCAGTCGCACTGTCTCTGATACTCCCATCCCGATTATCCCAGTCACTGAATCAATCCACCTCATAGAGGGCCTTCCCCTCCTGCACCGTCCCTCCACCCTCCCAAGCATGATGTCCCTCTCCAAGGACCGGTCTCTCCTTACAACATGTCCAAAGTATGTTAGACGGAGCCTCAGAATCCTTGCCTCCGAGGAGCCACCCAGTTTAACCCTTTCCAGGATGAATCTGTGTGTTTTCTTGGCAGTTCATGGAACATTCAATACTCTTCTCCAGCACCACAGCTCAAAGGCATCAATTCTCCTTCTATCCTCCATCTGGCAGCACAGTGGCGAGGAATTGCGTTGTCAACCCAAAGCGTATGGTTCAAATCCACTAGCCCCTTCTTGGGAGAAAGACAGGAAATCTCCTCCCATGGGATTTGCAGCCTCTAAAAATCCAATCGAGGGTCAGCGACGAGTCAGTTCCGACTGGACAGCACACAACAACAATCACTATAATGCTCTGATGCAAAAGAAATCCGTATTATGAAGACACTGGCCAGACGGAATTCTCAGGGGAGAAAGACACTCGTGATTGAACCTCAAGTCTAGAAAACGAGCCGCGGGAAAGAGGGACTGGAAGTAAGTGGTGATTTTTGGAGGCTGGAGGAGGCAGGGAGAGCTTCTGATTACCCATCAGCATCATATCCTCACAAAGCCAGGTCGCCATTCCAAGAGGAGACGGTCTCAGGTCAGAGCACGTTTTTAAAAACAGCCCGTCCGGGCCTGGGATTCTGCCCATTTGTCTGTGGTAGGGCCCCCTTGAGATCGCTTGAGGCGGAGGAAAGCCTTCGCTAAGGGAAAGGTCGGGCCTGAGATTCTTTACTGGCCCCAGGTGAGAAATTGTTTTCTTCTGGCCCATAAAGTCGCTGGCTGCTGTGCCTTGTTTTACTGCCTGCGTTCCTCTGTGAGCGAGGGGAGGCTGGCAGACCCAGGTGGCTGTGCTGGGGGTGGGGAGGATTTATGCCCCAGGTTCCAGGGAAACTCCTCGGTTGCCTTTCCAGAACTCACTGACACACAGCCCTGGCAGCTCACGGGAGACATCATGCCTGTAGTTAGGGGGCAGGTGAGCATCTCAGAGGAGAGGCCTGGGCTGCAGATGTGAACACAGGAGTCATTGCAACCAGTGATGGTCTTCAAAGTCTTGGGGGGGGGGTGGCTAACATCCCCGCGGGAGAGGATGTTGGGAGTGGGGGTGGCCAGGACTGAGGCTGGTGCTCTAACTTCGTAGGTCAGGGAGGGACATTTAAAAAAATTATTTTTCTACTAGTTTATTTACAAAATTAAAATACAAATTTGAACAAATTCTTTCCCTTTCCCTCACCCCCTCAACCCATCAAATTGTACAACCCAATGATTAATCCCCCCTGCCCCCGCTGCACATCCATAGCCCTCTGTTTCCAGCCTCTCCCACGTCCTGGGTCCTTATACTCATTCTACAATAACGATTTTATACAATATTTATCCTTATCTGACTTAGTTCACTCAGCATAATGCTCTCCAGAGGGAGGGACATTTACAGAGCCCTGCATGCTGTCAGGAGCAGTCTGTGGGAGCCTGGCCAGCAGAGCTCTGGGAACAGCTCTGTTGTTGTTAACTGTGTGAGGCATCTGTGTTGTGGTACGTGTTTCTCTGACGGAAACTTTAATTCTCCAGTCACTACATCCAAATACCTCTCATTAACTACTGCCCTCCACCAATCACCCATCATGTATCAGAGAAGCAAAGAGAATTCTGTCCTGCGGCAGGAAATAGCAAAGGGGATACCTCAACGCTCATCCTATATCTGTGACACAAAATTAACTCTGGAAGGGGATGCTAACATCTAATAAGTAGATTCTGCTTCTGTTGTGTATCAAGTTAACTTTCAATAACCCCATCTGACAGGAGAGACTTGTCCCATAGAATCTGTCAGTTTTCCACAAGCTGGTCATCTTGTTTTTTGAGGACCATGTCTGTTCTAAGGGTTGCTGGTCAAATGTTTTGTAGACTATCCTTCAATTTGAGTTTGCCTGCTACCTGTGTCATGGTCAGACTGCATACAGGGTTTGGAGGAGGGACAGTATCACCCTCTAAATATTTAGGGCACATCAACAAATTATCACCAAAGATGTCAACAAGAACCCCCTGGCTAACGTGGTGCTTGCCTGTTTTCTCCATGGTAAAGTAACTTCCTCCATCCCTCTTTTGCATACTGTATTCTTTTGAAGCTCTGGTCGCCTTGTGGTAAGAAACTGCACTGCATTCCAAAGGCGTGTGGTTTGAATCCACTAGCTGCTCCGTGGGAGAAGGATGGGCAATCTCCTCCTGTGTGGTTAACTGCCTCTGAAAACCTGCCAGAGGGTCATCAGTTGTGGGTTGGTTCCGACTCATTGGTACTGAACAACAACAACAACAACTCCTTGGAAGCAAGCCATTAAATAGAGCTCACACTTAAGGGATAAGGAGTGATGCTCCACCACCTTCAGGGGAGAGATTCCACCTAAATGATTTAGAATTCTTTTGGATGGAAGGTTAGTGTCTCCACTGGACAAAAGGGATTCCTAGTGACCTGAAGCCAGTAACACCGTAAAAACTGGCTCCTTAATCTTAACAGGGAGTCCCCGAGCAGCACACATGTTTATGTATTCAACTCCTAATCAAGTACTGGACCAGGCCTGGTCCTGAACTCGTCTGCCACACAAATGGATGGTGACACTGGACATTGAACACATGCGAAGAGGAAGGAGACGGGTGAACCACAGATTCTCTGTCACCAGCTGGGGAACAAGGCATCGTCCCATCTTGGACGCCTTCTCTGTCACACACAGAGTAAATGGGTCTATTCTCCAAGAATTATCTACTAGCCAGAAGCTCCATCCATCTGCTCATTAACACACTTAAAAAAAAAATTACTGAACAAGACTTCGGATCCGCAGTCCCCAGGGGCCCAACTACATAACTTGGCAATGACTCTTTATTAAGTCTGATCAAAGGGCTCATTGTTCAGTAATTAGAAACCATGACTTTTTCCTCTGGGCTCTGGGCTCATAAACATCAGTTGGATGAGCTTTTCATTTGGGTTGAACTAGAAACCTAGAAGGATACATTTCCTCCTAATTTATACCCGCTTCAGTGAAGAGAGCAGCAGAAGGCTGAGTTCATGCCAGGAGAGGCCCTTGGCTCCAATGTCTTCACAGGGAGAGAAACAAGGGAGGGGGGCATAGACTAATCCAGATTGAACCTGCAGACTCACATAGTAAAAGGGCCGGACAGAGGGAGGCAGCCACACCAGGTCCAACGCGGGACACTTGCTCTCTCCCTGATGTTTCCGCTGCAGTGGGTGTTGATCCGGAGAGTATGAGCAGGTTCGAGCTTGGAAGACCACCAACAGGGCTGTGTATCCAAAGACCCACTTAGCCTAGAAGTGGGGTAAGAAGTTGCCTTGCTCTCCAGTGCTGCTGTAACGGTGATAAATACCGCAAGAGGGTGGCTTTACAGAACAGATGTTTATTTTCTTACTGTTTAGGATGCTAAAGGATCCAAACTCGAAGGCAAGGGAGTCTCTCAGTCCACACTGGGGAAAACTCTTGTTCCTTTCAGCTTCTCTTTCCTCATTTGTACTTTCTTATTTTAGTACCTAGCCTGCTCCTCTTAGATCTCAACAAGGACTAAGTAAGCATAATTTTACACCAATATAACCTCATTAATATAACAGACAATTTCATTCTCGAATGGATTATAACTACAAGTATGTGGTTAGGTATTGTATTGTCCAGTTGGTTCCTAGTTGTGTAAACCCAGGTACAACAGGATGAAACCCTGTCTGATCGTCTGTCCTTAGGTGTAGAAGGTAAGATTTATAACACACATTTTTGGGAGATACAATTCAATCCATAAAATCAGGGAAGAAAAAAAATAAAAAAAATCAGGGAAGAAATTCACCACATGTACTGGGTGGTTTTTACATCAAACCATTCCATAAATATTTATAAGAATCTACTAGAAAAACTTACTTATAATGTTAGCATTGGGATCAGACCATGAATGAAAATGCAGTGGTTGGCCCCTAGGGGATTAGAGGAGGTGGGGGAGGCTGGTCCACTCTGGTGGAGGAAAGTCCAACCCAGAGAGGGCATGAGTGCCTCTGGTGGGGAAATTGGACCATAGGGGCAGGAGCCAGGCAGGATCTTGTTCTTGGAGCTGAGAACTGATGAGTCTTCATCCTCCGGATCTCCAGAAATGTGCGAATGCATCTGAAAATGCAGCGTCCCAGGCCCAGCCATGGCCCCACACTCCGCTGACAAGCCTTCCTCTTTGTGCTCAGTCTCTCATGTACTGGACGTTGGCACCCAACCACAGGAAGTCCTACGAGAGAGACAGGACAGGACAGGATGGTGAGGAGCAGCCTCAACTCCAAAAAGATGCTTCACAAATGAAAAAGGAGGCTCGTTCTTGGGAAATACAAGCTCTGCAGAAACCAGGTCAGTGCATAAATCGAGAGAGTGCTTCACTCCCCAAGCTCTCCATAAGGCAAAGCTTTTGCCAGCCACCTTCGCCAAGGTAGCAATTTATCTGTCATTTCCCAAGCTGCTGCTTCCTGGCAGGACTCATAAATGTCCCTGTGTCACCTAAATTTTCTCTCTTTAGTGAATAACACAAAATTGTGTGCTTCTGGGCTGCATCCTCCTACCTGCTGTTAAGTTTCCATCACTCAGAATGGCTTCAGTTCTAACTTTGGTGAATTGAACCCTTTCCTACAGTGTTCTATGCCCTTAGACAGTCCGACCAATGGACAGAGTTGACCTGAAGATTCTAATGACTATGTTAATATATAATAATATAGAATAAATCTCCCAGACATTTCTAATCCTCCTAACATTGTGTTTAGAAGCATTGATACTTATCTTCTTCTCTTGACAAGAGCCCAGAGAAGTTGGGGCTACAACACCTTTTAAAGAGGAGGAAACTGAGGCCAGCAGAGTGAATTTTCATTCAACTTTTGCTTCAATCTCTGATCTGTCTGACACTACTTGTAACCCTCAATAGTAGCTGAGTGTTGTCAAGGATCTAGCTGTCTCTCCAGAAGATGGGTTGAAGTCCTAACTGCTGGGTCCTGCAGATGAAGGTGACTTTGTTTAGAAACAGGGTCATTGAAGTTGAGGTTATCAGTTAATCCGAGGTCCTAATCCAATATAAAAGGGGTTTTTGTAAGAGAGAAGAGGCATGGAGAGAGGCAGAGGGAAGAGAGGTATGGAAAGACAGTGGCAGAGATTGGAAGCTGCATCACAAGCCAAGGAATGCCAAGGGTTGCAAACCATCAGCAGAACTTAGAAGAAAGGCACAGAATAAAATCTATCTCTGAAGGGAGCTCTGGTGTCCTAGTGACAAGAAGCTGCACTGCAATCCCGGAGGTGTGCGGTTCGAAACCACCAGATGCTCTGCTGGAGAAGGAGGAACAAGCTCCTTCTGTACTAGTCAGATCCGATTTGATGGTACACATACACAAACCATCATCACCACCATCATCATCATCATCATCATCATCATCATCATCATCTCTCTGAGCCCCCAGAAGGAACCAACATGGCCAACATCCTGATTTTAAAGGAGTCCCAATGGCACAAGTGGTTAAGTGTCTGTATACTCACCAAAAGGTTGGGGGTTTGAAGTTACCAACTGCTCTTAGAAAGACATGGCAGTCAGCTTCCCTAAAGATCACAGTGTTGGAAACCTTGAGGGGCAGTTCTGCTCTGACCTACAGGGTCAACAGCAATGGGTTTAGCCTCCATAGTCTCATTTATCCACAAAACAATGAATCTCTTTTAAGCCACTCAGTTCATTGTAAGGGAGCACTGGTGGCTTAGTGGTAAGAAGCTGCACTGCAATCCCAAAGATGTTGTTGTTGTTATGTGCCGTCGAGTCGTTTCCAACTCATAGCGACCCTATGCACAACAGCCCTAAACCCTGCTCTATCCTGCGCCAACCGCACCGCCTCTGACACACCCATCCGGATTACCCCAGTCAAGATACGTGGTTCAAATCCACTAGCTGCTCTGTGGGAGAAGGACGGGCAGTCTTGTCCCATGTGATTTACTGCCTCTGAAAACCTGCTAGAGGGGCAAGTATGGGTGTTGACTTGACAGCACACAACAACAACAACAACAACAACAACAATTCATTGTACATTGTTAAAGCAGCCCTAGGGAACCAAGACAGATACTGAGTCTCAGTGGGTCCAAAAGGGTCTCTTATCCAAGTATATCTAACATTTGGTCAGTATTTCAACCCTCCCACCCACTCTGCTGTCTTTTTTTCTCTTTCACGGTCTTTATTTATGGATGCTGCCTGTATACCAGGCACAATGTACCAACTCCTTTGGTGCTCACATTCCACCAAGCCGTGTCCCGCCTTCCAGATGTTGTACTAGAAAGAGGAGGGCACAGATGGACCCCCGACGAGTGAACGCTCAGACACATTCCTTGGTACTGAACTAGTTGTGTGAATTATGGCTCATTCCTTGGATGGGATAGCACACAGCTGCCTGGCACAGCAGGCGATGAGACTAAGTTACAACAAGGCCCGAGGGATGGCGTTAACTTTAAAATAGAAAAGAAAGACACAAGTATGAGCAACTCTCTAATGAGACAAAACTTTTAAGTGTCAGGGAGAAGAAAGAGGAAAAGAAAGCTTAGAACGAAAGTGCATTAACATTTAAACCGTGGTCACAACAAGGCAGTAAGAAAGTTTATGGATAATTTTTTAAAAATGTCAATGATATGGCTATGTTATTTGTTTAGAATGGGAAGGTACATCAAACATATTTATAACAAAGCTCCTCCACTTAAAATTGAAAAAAAATTTAAAAAATTATTTTTTTATTCTTTTTTGTGTGTGTATCCCATCAAATAGGATCTGACAGGTACAGAAGGAGATTGTCCCTCCTTCTCCAGAAAAAAAAAATCCCAAACATTTTTAAAATTGAGATTTTCATGAAAGTTTGTAGAAAACTTGAATTTCCATTCATTCATTGTTGCACTTTTCTCCCTGCCCACTCCTCCCCCTCAGTTCACTTTTCTCTTCAAAATAGAAAAAAAAAATCTTTCTTTGTTATACAGTCCCCCCTAGGATTTGCTAGATTTTCCTCCTTCCCCTGCTTAATATCTATGAGAGCTCTTGTGGCCTCGTGGTAGGAAGCCGTGTTGCAATCCCAAAGCCACAGGGTTTAAATCCACCAGTTGCTTCTCAAGGAGGACAGGCAGTCTCCTCCCATGTAATTCACTGCCTCTCAACTCACTGGATGGTTCCAACGTGATGGCGTACCACCGCCACAATATGTATATGGCTTTTATTGTGATTTGAGTATTTGAGTGAAAGTTGACAGAGTAGCTTGGTATTCCATTCAGCCAGTTCTACCCATTTCGTTTTATGACTGTGATTGTAATCCCCACAGTGTAGCAGCCTCTCCCCACGTCCTCACTGTGGGTCTTATTTCTAGTCATCCTTCTATCCTCTCCTTTCCAAAGATTTATCCCTGGGAAAATGCTGCCCTTCTGATCTCATACAGTTCACTGCCCTAAGGTCTGAGTATCCTCTCTGGTGTTAATGTTCCCTCTATATTGTTGTTGTTGTTGTTGTTATGTGCCATTGAGTAGCCTGTGACTCATAGTGACCCTGTGTACAACAGCTCTGAACCCTGCTCTAACCTGAGCCAGTCTCACTGACTCTGACACATCTAATTCCATTGCCACAATTACTGAGTCAATCCATCTCATCTGGGGTCTTTCTCTCCTGCACTGTCCCTTCACCCTTCTAAGCATGATGTCTTTCTCTAAGGACTGGTCCCCTCCTGGCCATGTACACAAAGTATGTGAGACGGAGCTTCAAAATCCTTGCCTCCAAGGAGCAGTTTGGTTTCCCCCTCTCCAGGACAGAACTGTTTGTTCTCCTGAAGGTCCTTGTTCCCTCTATAGACCTATCTACTGTTTGGCTGAAAGTTGTACCACAGGACAACTTCAGTTCTAGCCAAAAGGATGACTCAGGCCATAGTGTCTAGGGTTCAACCAATCTCTATTAGATCAGGGAGTCACTGGATTTGAAAAATGAGTTAGTCATGAAGTCTTTTCAGATTTAACGTTCCACATTGTTGCTTGCTATTGAGTCAGAACCAAACTATAGTCAACAGTCCAGCAGGTTTTCAGAGGCAGTAAATCGTATGGGAGGAGATTACCCATCCTCTCTCTGAACAATTGGTGAATTTGAACCATGTGCCTTTGGGATCACAGTGCAGCTTCTTACCACTAGGCCACTCACATGGTGGGAGTGTATATGAGACCATAAATTCAGAAGCATTTAATTGGTGGAAACTTAGTCCACCGAGGAAGTCCTTAACACGAATTACGACATAGAAATGGTGTGTTTTTTTTCCTGACCATTAAGCCAGTTATGTGCTTTAGTCCAGGGTAAATCCAGGGAAGGGAAAGTTTGTTCTCAGACTTACAAGGAAATTTGCCTAGAATACCTTTAAGGATTTATGGAGAAATAGATCTAAATTCAAAGTTGGTATTGTCTTGTAGCCTCTTTGTGGCAATGAGTCAGGGTCACTTGGTCAAGTGTTTTACCCAGACGCCACAAAGCTCAGTGGTCAAAGCCTCCAGAACCAATCATAAAGCTTGCAGTTGTGCATGCATCCCCAATGTGGGCCTCTCGCATGTTCCATAGTCCCACCTGCTACAGTGATGAATTGCACCTGCCGCCAACCACAGTCTTGTTCTATGACAGCTATGGCTCTGATTGGGCAGAATTTGTTGACGTCCTGCTGACTGTTACTTCCATCCTGAGTGATGACTTGTTTTTATCTTTGCTTAATAAAAAGGTCTCTCTAGTCTGTATTTGAGTCTGGGGTCTTTTCCCTCTTACAGAGGTGGGGGGCCGTGGTGACACAGGGCTGGTTAAACACTTCCTGCCTCCATAGAGGTCCTGGAGGACACTGAATGGCTTTGTGACTGGAATGGGGTCCATCCACTGAATCATGGCTTTCACTTCTGGTAAGCCAAGCCCCACCCAAATTCTCAGAACCCCCTACCCCCACCCCAGCCCACTGACCTGGTGGATGTGGAGAGCAAGGTCGTAGAGCCGAGTTTGCTTTAGCAGAGGGAGGGGGAGGCCTTCTGCCAACTTCTCTGGAGATGGAGAGAGAGGTGTTAATACATAGCAGATAGAGACAATGCCTACAATGTTTGTTCTCTGGCTGACACATTGTGTCCTCATTCACAAAAGGGTAAGAATGAACTCCTCTAATGTTATAGGTAAGAAAACTCAGGCACAGAGAGACCAAGCAACTTGTTCTAGGCTGCACAGCTAGAAAGGGGCAGAGTTGGGATTTGAACTCAGGCAGGTGACACTGGAACATGAACCCTCAGACACAACCTATATGGAGGAAGTAACAAGTGTGGATGACACACATACTTGGTAAGGAGCTAATGACTGTCTTTTCTCTGCCCTGTGGCTCTGTTTAGTTTTCTAGGCAGTCAAATGAAATGGGGCCTCATGGAAAAATGGTTTTAATGCTATAGGTGTTATGTTTAATTTTTTTTTACAAAGAAGTTAGAGTGGGGAATGTATATTCAAAGGAAAGGTGAATTTAGAGAGTTGCCTTGTGTCTACATTCATTTGTCCTTCAATCGTTTACTTGTTTATTCAAGATTGTGTGTGTGTGTGTTTTGAGGGGGGGAAGGGAACATGTCCCTGAGTGCCACCTTCTCCTACATAGGGAAGTAGCTTGTTTTTTAAAGATCCACCCCAACCCTCATTAGAGTCCAAGGGGTAAAAAGGCCCCCAACTTTAACATTCCTATTTCAAGAGGCCACTGAATCTCAGAGAGGAAACTTGATTAAGACTCTTCCCTCAATAGAAGAGCTCTATTTACCAACTTCAAGTACTCTCTTTTTCTCCAAAAAGTAGTGTCCTCTCTTGAGTTGGAAAAAAATGATAGCAATTCTTACCATTGACCTTGGGGTAGAGGTTGTTGATAATGTAGTAGTTAATGAGTGCCTCCAACAGCTCCACCTGGTGGAGAACAAGACAGGGTGCAGTGTGACCACATGCGCCATCTTGCCCTTCTCAAACCCACATGAGGACGAGGTATATTTCTAACACAGCTAAAGAGCTCAAAAAAGCAAACTGCAGAGCAATACCTACACCAGCTTTTCTTCCAGAGCAGTTGTTTAGTTGGTGTTATGTGCTGTCAAGTCGACCACGACTCACAGTGACCCTGTGAACAATGGATCTGAACCTTGTCCTCTCCTGTGGCGTCTTCTTCATCTCTGAGATATTTGATCTGATTGTTACAGTCACCCAGTCAATCCATCTTGTTAAGGGTCCTCTTCTCTTTCACTGACCCTCTACCTTTCCCATCATGAGGGCTTTTCCCAAGGATTGGCCCCTCCTAAAAACAGGCCCAAAGTATGTTGTTGTTGTTATGTGCCATCAAGTCGCTTGCGACTCATAGTGACCCTATGTACAACAGCCCTAAACTCTGCTCTGTCCAGTGCTAATCTCATTGTCTCCGACACACTCATCCCGATTGCCCCAGTCACAGAATCAATCCACTTCCTAGAGGGCCTTCCCCTCCTGTGCCTGCCCTTTACCTTCCAAAGCATGATGTCCCTCTCCAAGGACCGGTCTCTCCTTACAACATGACCAAAGTATGTCAGACAAAGCCTCAGAATCCTTGCCTCCAAGGAGTAACCTTGTTTAACCCTCTCCAGGATCAATCTGTTTGTTTTCTTAGCAGTCCATGGTGCCCTCAATACTCTTCTCCAGCACCACAGCTCAAAGGCGTCAATTCTCCTTCTATCCTCCCTAGTCATCGTCCAACTCTCTGGCGCATAACAAGTGAATGCAAAGACCATGGCTTGTATCAGACGCACCTTAGTCTCCAGAGAGACACCGCTGTTCTCCAAAGTATGTGAGGAGACATAATTTCACTAATCTTACCTCCAAAGAGCACCCTGGTTGCACTTTCTTCAAGACATATCTCTTGTTCTTTTGGCAGCCCGCGGGATGTTTAGTACTCTTCTCCAACACCGTAACTCAAAGGTTCCAATTTCTCTTCTGTCATCGTTATTCATTGTTCAACTTTTAGATGCATAGGAAATAATAAGACTATGCCTTGAATCGATTGCACCTTAGTTTTTAAAATGACATCGTTGCTCCTCAGCACCTTGGAGAAGTCCTTGATAGCAAATTTTCCTAAAGCAGTGGATATTTTAGTATCTTGACTGCTGGTATCAAGGGTGTTGATGGTGGATCCAGTTAAGATGAAATTGCTGACATCTTCAATCTTTTTTCCATCTATTATGATCTTGCCTATTTGCCCAGTGGTGAAGATTTTTGTTTTCTTGATGTTGAGATGTAATCTATGTTGAAGACTGTAGTCACTGATCTTCTGCATCAAGCACCTCAAGTCCTGTTCACTTTTCAGCAAGCAAGTTTGTGTCATCTCCATCACGCAGATTATAATGAGTCTTCATGTGATCCTGATGCCACGTTCTTCTTCACAAAGCCCAGCTTCTTGAATGATTTGCTCATCATGCAAATTGAATTGGTATGGAGAAAGGCTACAGCTCTGGCACACGTCTTTCCTGATTTTAAACCATGCAGTGTTCCCTTGCTCTGTTGGGACAGAAGTTTCTTGGTCTATGTATAGGTTTTACATGAGCACAATGTATTCTGTAGTCTGAGATTCCTCTTCTTCTCAAGACCTCAAGTTAACGAATACCTAGGCATATTAGAAATAAACCCAGGAATAACTTACATTAAATACTCCGACGTTAGATTCCTTCAGCTCCAAGTGTACTCTGTAATAAATCAGAGAAGACTGAGAGATGTGAGTACTGCTTTCCTAGGAAGACTAAGCGATTCACGGTCCCTGAGAGAAGGCATTCTACACTGGTGTAGGGGTGGGATTGAAAAGAACAGTGTGACTGAATAGCTCAAAACACTGACAAACAATGATTCCGGGAAGACCAGTGGAAGGAAGAAGTGGTACTCAATCAAAGCACTAGATTCTCACTTATCATTTTGGGAAGCCAATAGCAGATATTTAAAATTGATAAATCAGAAAAAAAAGTTGTGTTTATAAATTCTTTAGAGATTGGAAGCAAAGAGTGTTGTGTAGAAAGGAAGTTTGTGGTAAGCAGGACCGATGGGGCAAAAAGGGCTGTGGGTGGGAAGTTGGGTTGTTAACCCAAAGGTGTTGCCCCTTCGGCATTTTGAATCCACCAGTGATTCTATGGGAGAAGGATGGGCAATCTCCTCCTGAGAGAGTCACAGCCTGGAAAACCACTAGGGGTTCAGCTGGAAGTCTGTTCTGATCTGACGAGAATGAGTTTTCTCCTCAAATGTTGAGCCCCCACCGCTGGCACGAGGGTTTCCCCACACTTCCACCCCCAGCTTCAGAGAGTTCTGGTGGAATCCAGGTGAGTGCCCCCTTGTGGTTAGGAAGCTGACTTACTTTCCTGGCCTCAGGAACCCGATAAGCCTGCTGTTGTTGAAGCTCAGTATGGCGGACACATTAGTGGCCTGGAAATAACAGGGAGAAAGAGACGGCTCTGAATGCTGGAGGACAGGAAGGGTAACAACTATCTGATGGGAAGAAATTGTGAGGCCTTCCTCTGTGGTGGCACTGGATGGATTCAAACTGCCAACCTTTGAGCTAGTTGCTGTTGATTGCCTTCGAGTTGAGCACGACTCATAGCGACCCTATGAACAAAAGGCCTGAAGCCCCTCTACAACTATCGACATTTATCAAAGTTCATAGGGTTTCCGGAGACATGTTGTTTAGGGAATGGATGCCACTCAGTTGAATACAAATTGTTAGTGCCACACAGCCGAGCAAACAGGCCAAGGACCCAGTCACCTCTTTGTCCAGAATGCTGCTGTTGTTGTTGTTAAGTGCCGTAGAGTCGTAGATGACCCATAGTGACCCTATGAACAAAAGTCTTGAACATAAAACTGTCATCTTTTCTCCAAGTTCATAGAGTTTCCAGAGGCAAGCTTTTTTGGAAGCGGATGCCACTCCTGCTTCCAAACTTGTTTTATTTGAATAGCCCAGATTAATTTATAAGAAAACAATGACTAGGACCTAAGGTAGGAAGCTCTCGTGGCCTAGTGACAAGGAGATGCACTGCACACCCAAAGGCACTTGGTTTGAGGCCACCAGCTGCTCTACGGAGGAAGGATGGGAAGTCTCCTCTCATGTAATTAACTATCTCTGAAAACCCACCAGAGGGTCAGCTATGGGTCGATTCAGACTCTAAGGTACACAACAAAAACAGGGCTTAAGGTAGATCAGAAGGAAGAGAAGTTATAGATGACCTCTCTGAGCAAGTGCTATTTAAGCTGAGCTCTGGAGGAATGAGCTAGATGGTGAGTGAAAGGACAAGCATTCAGGGAAGGGGAGCAGCATTTGCAAGAACTCTGAGCCTCACCACACCAAGCCGGAAGACAGACTTCTTGAGCGAGTTGGGTAGGAGCACAAAGGCCTCCATCTCCATCTGGGGGGTCAAGGACAGGTTCCCAGGGCTGAAGTTCAGACGTGGGGCAGACACCACAGTTCCCTGGAGCTCCAAGTTCATATTGGGGTACAGCCTGACCAACTGAGGAGAGAATTCGGAGATTATGCTGAAATCAGGAAATACGTAGACCAGCTGAGAAAGGCCTAAAGGAGAGAAAACTGAGAATACTTTGAAGGTGTTTTTTTCACCACAAAATGCTTTGTATTCCTGCCTTTCTCTCTTGACAATATAGCTGATGTCTTTCCATTATGACATTGTTTGTTGTTGTTGTTGTATGTGCCGTCGAGTCGTTTGCAACTCATAGTGACCCTATGTACAACAGCCCTAAACTCTGCTCTATCCTGTGCCAATCACATTGCCTCTGACACACCCATCCTGATTACCCCAGTCACTGAATCAATCTACCTCATAGAGGGTCTTCCCCTCCTGCGCTGTCCCTCTACTCTACCCAGCATGATGTCCCTCTCTAAAGACCTGTCCCTCCTTGCAACATGTCCAAAGTATGTCAGACGAAGCCCCAGAATCCTTGCCTCCAAGGAGCAGCCTGGTTTAACCCTCTCTAGGATGAATCTGTTTGTTTTCTTGGCAGTCCATGGTACATTCAGTACTCTTCTCCAGCACCACAGCTCAAAGGCATCAATTCTCCTTCTACCCTCCCTAGTCATTGTCCAACTCTCTGATGCATAACAAGTGATTGCAAAGACCATGGCCTGTATCAGGTGCACCTTAGTCTCCAGAGAGACACCGTTGCTCTTGAGTACTTTAGAAAGGACACGGGCACTGTTTATTTCTGTAGAGTGGCACCATATTGAAGTGTGTGTAACTACTCTAATTATTCTAGACCTATGGACATTAAATTGTCTTTAAGGTTTTGCCATGATAATGACCACCCACCTGGGTCATTCTTACTGGGAATATATGTTTAGAGGTGAAATTTCTGAGTGACAGGGCAAGGAAACATTTAAGACTTCTGACAAATATTGCCACAACGCTTTCCAGAAAGACTGGCCAATGTTTTTCGCTCTCCCGTCCCCAGGGCAATCAATGAGTAAGAGCTCATGTTTCCCCAGCCCCTTACCACACTCAAATAGCCATGTGAACCGAGGTTAGGAACCATGTTTGTGTAAAATGAAACTAGATCCCACCATTTCAAAAATGTGAGTGATTTTTTGTTTTAACGGAGGTAGACCCACCCAGAACTTATTGTGAGGGAAGACTATTATTCCCTTTGGGGGAAGGAAGCGGTGACTGGGGGAGGAGCAATACTCCCTTGGTAACGTAAGTATGAAATCCACATCTCAAGGGAGAAATTTGGAAGATTGATGGGCTAAATGATTTACTAAGAAGAAGAGAAAAGTTGATATCTTGGAGGTTTACTACGATGCAGTTATAGGGGGAGGGGTAAGAATTCCCTTCTCTTTTTGAGACAAAAGGCACGTGGGAGCCAAGATGTGACCAAGGAACTGTAGGACAATATGACAATTCGACAATACGGCAGCAGGTTGGGTCTAAACGGGATTCTAGTGGGAGAGAGGGCCTGCAGGGCTCCCTGCAGAAGGACACGGCCCAAGAAATGCAGAGCTTGAAGTCCTTCTTTCCCTCCATCTTCAGACTTTACTCTCAACTGCCCTCACTAAACACTACCGCCTTCTTGAGTTCCACCTCAGAGGGAAGACATGGAGGGTGGATGAGAAGACGGGTAGAGTTCTGTGAGCATTAGATGAGATGATGCACACAGAGAACTTAGAGCAGCAACAAAGATCTGTCTGCAGGGATATTCTCCTTGATTCTGGTAGAGTGAAAACAGCCTCCTTGCTTATGTATGGGGATTGGCTAGACAAGCCATGAGTTGATCCCTCCAACAGCACCTTGGACACTCATGTATCAAAGACGGAGGAAGCTCTTCTGTACCTCATATGTGGACTGATTTTCCAGATATAACAAGGAGGGGGGATAAGATATCAAATGGTGAGAATATACAACAAATGGAGGAAGAGAGATACAAGACACGCGTCTACTCATGTGACACCAAATGGTACCAGAAAGATACGCACAATTAAATGATTCTGATAAGTCTGAGGTGGGAACAGGGCTGTTAGGGAACAGGAGTGGGAGGGAGGCCTTCACTCTTGAGCCTTTCATATTTCTATCGTGAGAATTTATCATCCATTTAAAAAATATTTTTAAAGAGCCGAGAACAGTGCCTGGTCCCTGGGAAGCCTTCTGTTAGGTGTATTGACTAGGGCACATTCTGTGGGATCTGTCAACACTCTGTAGGAGGTTGAGATACCCCCTCTGGTCCCACATGACCCAGAGTTTGGGCTTCTGTTACTTGAGCTTCTCTCCCCTTTTGGTGCCTGTACCCCTGCTCGTGGATTAAAGTTTGTTATTACTGACAAAGCAGGGCGGGAAGTTACAGCACTGACCTTTGTTGTCTGTATTTCTTTTGCATCTCTTCACTTCTTCTCTTTCTCTAGTGATGTTGTGCTGATGACCTCTTCCTGTCTTTCCCTTAACTCATCTTAATACACATCCATTATTTATTGATTGATTTTTACTCCCCTACCCCCAGCTTTCCTCCTTGGTAACCATCTGAGAATTTTCTTTTCTGCATGTATACGTTTAGTTTGTTGTTGTTTTTTAATACTAGTAGACTCAAACAGCACTGTACAGGAGCTTGGAAGGGATAGGTCTTAAAGCTTGCAGCTAAGCTTGGGGCCTTATTGCTGACAGCTAAGAGGAGCGTGGAAGGTTCTCTGAGGTCTCATAGCCTTGGCCTGCACCCATCAACGGCAGAGGGAGGTCTTACCCGGGGGACGAAGGGTCGGAAGGACTTGGTGGTCAGTCGGATGTGAAAGTCAGGTGGAATCTGGAACAGAGAGACACAAGGATTATTTTAGGGAATGAAAGGTGAGAGGAAGGTCTGAGAGAGGTAGGAAGTGGGGGTAGGGAGCGGAGAGAGAATGGTCAAGACTAGCTTCCTCAGTGCCCGGAGGTACCATGACAAGCATGAGGTGCCTGTCCTACACTTACTATGAGCATGTGAACCCTTCAAGTTCAATGTCCAACCCTTCCGCGACTGCTCCCCTTCAGGGTGTGTGGGACAACAGGCCTCCCTTTGCAGTCACATAGACCTCGGTGTGGGTCCTGCGTGATCTCAGGCTGACCTCTTCACCTCTCTGAGTCTCACTCAATGGCCTCATTGATAAAATGGGAAAATGAGACTAATCTACTACCAGTTGACATTGACTCCTAGTGACCCTGAAGGATAGAACTGCCTTACACGGTTTCAGAGGCAGTCAGTCTTTAAGGTGTGGACGGCCATATCCTTCTCCTGGGGACAGCTGGTGAGTCTGAACGGTCAGCTTTCTGTTTAGCAGAAAAATGCTTGCCCTGTTGCATTACCAGGGTCTCTTAGAGATAATGTTGTTGCTGTTGTTAAGTGCCGTCGAGTCGTAGACGACTTATAGCGACCCTATGAACGAAAGACCTGAGCACTGTTCATAGAGTTTCCGGAGGCAAGCCATTTTGGAAGTGGATGCCACTCCTGCTTCCAAGCTTGTTTTAATCGGGGAGCTCCACCAAACACTGTCCACCATGGGTAACCATTCTCGCATTTGACACATCAGTGTCACAATGTTTAGCATCAGAGCAACCACGAGTTACCTCTGGATAGCAATGCACAGATTAGTGCTATACCACTTTGAAGAATGTTTGACAAAATATCAATTTGAACCAGGCCTGAGGGCCGCAGATTAAAAATCACCCACCTTGGCCTTGGTGCCATAACTTTCTTTTCACTAGGCCAACGTAGCTCTCTCTATCTATGTTGTCATTGTTGTTGTTGAGTGTCATCGAGTTGTAGACACTCATAGTGACGCTATGAACTAAAGACCTGAGCACTGTTCATAGAGTTTCCGGAGGCAAGCTATTTTGGAAGTAGCTGCCACTCCTGCTTCCAAGCTTGTTTTAATCTGGAAGCTCCACCAAACACTGTCCACCATGGATAACCATTATCACATTTGGCACATCAGTGTCACAGTGTTTAGCATCACAGCAACCATGAGTTACCACTGCATAGCAATGATAAGATCAGATTTTATTTGATATGAGGGCTAAATGAGATGACAGTAAAAGGCACCTAGCACACAGTAAGTGCTCAATAAAATACACTTGCTTTCATCTCAACAGTAGAAGAAGAGGCCCATGTCTCAGGAGTGATGAATGAATTAAAGGTGACAATAAAAGTGAAAGGTCTGTGGATGTGGGGCAAATAATTTACAGGACCAAAAGTCACTCCTTTTATCCACCAGATGGTCCCTGATTTATTCTTGGGGTGAAATGGATCGTCCAAGTTGAACCATTCTGTTTCTGCCATAGCTTGACATCGTCTGTGAACCATCAGTTTTCACAAAGTACTATAAGAAACAGATTTTTGAAATCTAGAAACATTAAAGAAGTTGGAGAAACATAAAAAATGTAATTCTCTACAAAATTCCATCTCCCTTACACAAAGTCCAGCAGAAACAGTCAATATAAAGCAAAATACCAGGGAGATTTTTGTTTCTCTTTTCACCAAGAATCACTAAACCGTGCACTCTTTTAACAGTATCAACTTAAAGGCATTCAGAATTACATATCATTTTTTACTTGGCCTGTATTTCCTATTCTATGCAACTTGATGTTGTCTTCAGTGTATATTCAGCCTCATTCACTAATTTTTAAATTATCATTAAACTTCAAAACCATCAGAGTAAGGAAAACATGAATCAGGATAACAGCTCTAGGTCAGGGAAAAGTAAAACGCAGACAACAAGCAGGCTGCCCAGTTTTCCACAGTTATTATAACGGAGACAGAACTTTGACCTTGAGCTTCCTGGTGGCCAAAGTGAAAAGGTCAATTAAGCTCCTTGACATCTTTCCTGGGTCCTAATTTTTATTGTTTCCCCCTTGGTGATAATTTACCATCTTGACAATGTTAATGGAGTGAGAAGGAGAGGACTGGCTGCCTTCTGCCAGCGAACTGTGCTGCCCCACTCCTCACCATGTCGTCTGTAAAGCAGAAGTTCAGGTAGCCTGCCTCGTGGTAAACCTGGCCGGCCATGTTGAAGATGTAATCTGAGATGGCAAAGTAGACCATGTGCTGTCCGTGATCCTCAGGAAGATTAATGACAGGTGCGACGGAGGCAGCTGGGGAGCGTTGGTTAAGGTTAAAGATTTCACCCTGAGGAAAGAAATAGGGTCCACTTAGACTTTTGGAAGCCTCTCCTGGGGCTGGTCGCCTCCCAAACCTGGAGATCCTCCCTGGAACTCTGCTGTTGAGATGTTTCCCTTTGGGTTTAAATAATTTTGTCTCCAGAACCCTTAATGTCCAGCTCCCAGAAGCTCTGATACTTAGCCCTCCTGACCCACTGACCAGTTCCTCCCCACCGCCTGAGGGCAGCTCTGACTGAGCTCACCTGCATGGAGACTGAGGAAAGGAGGGCAGGAGGGCACTGTAAGTTCCAAGGCCTAAGGGCTGGGGGACACTTGGGAGGAAATGCTGGCTCTGAGAACACTCCCCTTAACCCCATGACACCCTGGAACTAATGAGGAGATGAGATCTGAAGCCAGGGCCACACTGGGGCTGAACCCACCCAGCTCCCAGGCCCCTGATCCCAGCCCCTCACCTTAAACATCACATCCAATGTTTGAGCAGCTGCCTGAGGGGCCTCCATTAGACTGTAGTCAATGCCAGCGAAGCTGTCGATCTTGGCCGTGACTGTGAACCAGGGGAGGGTCAGAATTAGAGCCAGCGCAGCCTTAGGCTGATGGAGAAGGATTGAAGGTTATGAATGTTCCATGTTCCTGAGACTTTGTGCAGAGTCCTCCACCTTAAAGGCTTCACTCAGCCCAGTCCTGTCCAGTCCAGTCCGGGCAAAGAGCTGCTTCTCCACAGAGAGACTATACGGGTTCTCCTGTCTCACTGATGGGGGTGTGATGCCCATATACCAACCCCTTGATCACTGTGGGAACTGCTCTCTTAGCAACATGAGCCACGTAGCTCAATCCAGTCCCCTCCAAAACCAGGCCTGGGTGAACTAGACTGGGCTGAAACCTGATCTATCCTGTGCCAACTTTATTGTCTCCAACACACTCTCATTATCCCAGTCTCCATATCAATTCACCTCATTGATGGTCTCCCTCTCTTTCTCCATCCCTCCACCTTTCCAAGCATGATGTCCCTCTCCAAGGACCTGTCCCTCCTTGCAACATGTCCAAAGTATGACGAAGCCTTGGAATCCTTGCCTCCGGGAGCATGCTGGCTTCTCCCTCTCTAAGTTCAACATTAGAAAATCTATTAATCAATCTAATATATCACATTACTAAAACATAGGAAAAGAATCATATGATCATCTTGACTGGTACGGAGCAGGCATTTAACAAAATCCAACATCTTTCATAATGAAATCATGCAACAAACTAATAGTACAAGGGAAATGCCTCAATCTGATAAAAGTTATTTATGAAAAAACCACAACTAACATTATGCTCCATGGATAAAGACTAAGAGACGTTCCCTGCAAGATTAGGAACAAGGAGGCCCACTTCCATTTCTGTTACTACCCTTGTGTTGCAAAGACCAACCAGAGCAATTAGACAAGACAAGTAATTTAAAGCATCCAAATCAAGAAGGAAGAAGTGAAATAATTTCTTTTTTTGCAGATGTATATCCACAATTATGTATAGCCATATATATTAATGAGGAAGTGGAGATATGACTAGAAATTAATATGCTTACATGTACTTATTATTTATAATTGCATATGACAGAAGAAGAATTGATGCCTTTGAATTGTGGTGCTGGAGAAGAGTTTTGAACATACCGTGGACTTCCAAGAGAACTAGCAAGTCTGTCCTAGAGCTGGTGAAAGCAAGTTGCACCTTGGAGGCAAGGATTTTGAGACTTCATTTCACATACTTTGGGCATGTAGCCAGGAGAGACTAGTCTTTGGAGAAGGATATTATGCTTGGAAGGGTCAAGGAACAGAGCAGGAGAGGAAGACCCTGGATGAGATGTACTGACACAATAACTGGGGTAATGAGGGTAGGTGTGTCAGAGACAGTGAGATTGGCTTAGGATAGAGCAGGGTTCAGAGCTATTGTACATAGGGTGGCTATAAGTCGTAGTCATTTGATGGCACATAACAACAATAACAACAAAAACAACATGCGAAAGAATGATCTGAAATGACACCCACAAAATTAAGCTTAGGAAGCTAACTTGGGAGGAAAAGGGAAGAAAATTTAAATATGAATGTATAAAAATGAATAGAAAGTCTCTGTCCCAGGGGTGGATGGGTGACCTTACCTGGAAGTGTTTGAAGATAAGGTTGAAGGTCAGTGGTCCCTGATTTCTGGACCATTTCACAGATCTGAAAAACAAAACAAAACAAAACAAAAGAAAACATTAAGGCAAGGCCTGAGCAAGTGCCTCTTCTCTGACCTGGGGCTGTTCTCACCACATTTGTCTTGTTATGGCACAAATTCATCATTGGCTATTGATTCTACCAATATCTATAACAGTGTTCTACGTACCAGGTAGTGAAAATACAGAAATGACTGAAAACATAGGGCCTGCCTCCCAGAATTTAGAAGTTAGTAACCGCACCAAATATTAAATAGAATTAGTTGATGCCTAAATGTAGGATGAACACAGAGACTTCCTTAAGATCACTTCTTATCAGGCTAGCTAATACTCTCGTTAGTGATCATTCTCATTGCTTTGGTGGCAGGGAACGTTGAGCTCTGGTATCTAGCTGGCCAGCTCAGGTGATACGCCTGCTATTTGATGCTGTTCAGTGGGTCCCAACTCACAGAAAACCCACATGCAATACAATGAAACGCTGCCTGGTCACGCACCCCACCCCCACCGCCCCTGCTGTGCCCGAGCCCACCAGTGCAGTCACTGTGTCACAGCCCCACTTGGGAATCTTCCTCTTTTTTTTGTGGGTCCTCCACTTTCTCAAGCATAATATTCTTCTCCAGGGCCTGGGTCCTCTTGATAACATTAACACATGTGAGACCAACTCGTCCCAATGCTTCCTCCTGAGAGTGTCAGGTTGCCCTTTACCCAAGACAGCGCTGGTTTTCTTTCTACCGTCCAAGATATATTTCACCAGGGTTTTTCACCAGTATAATGATTCCATGATGAGAGAGAGAGAGCAGTCGGCCTAGCGGACAGAAAGCCATGCTCCCAAGCCAAAGGGGGGTGACTCTACTCCATGGCCCTCAGGCCTGCCTTTAATTGTTTTTGGTGAAACATTCTTCTAGGTCGTGTAACCCTGGTTTGTCCACTTGATTTGCAGAGGTAACTCGTGGTTGCTGTGAAGCCGAACACTGTGACACTGATGAGTCAAATGAGAGAATGGTTACCCACGGTAGACAGTGTTTGGTGGAGCTCCCCGGTTAAAATTAAGCTTGGAAGCAGTAGTGGCATTCACTTCCACAATGACTTGCCTTGGGAAACCCTATGAACCTGGAAAAAGGGCAAAAGTTATACAGGAAGTGTCTAGGACTTTTGTTCATAGGGTCACTATGAGTCGCCTGCGACTTGGCGGCACTTAACAACAACAACAACAACATAACGATTCCAAGGCCTCCTTTCTACTTTGGTCTCCTGGTACTCATTGCCTAACTTTCACAGCCAAATGAGGCAATTGAAATGGGTTGCCACCAGGTAAGGTGCACGCTTCCCATGAGAAGGTACTGTGTCTCCTCCGACATGGTTGTTAAACTTCCGGTTGTAATCGGTTGAGCTATTTACGTTGTTGTTTGTTGTGTTCTGTAGAGTCTGAACCAACCCATAGCTGACCCTCCAACAGATTTTCAGAGGCAACAGGGGAGACTGACCATCTCTGTCCCTCAGAGTGGCCGGTGGCCTCAAACCACGTACCTTCAACAGCCTCAAACCACGTGCCTTCAAAGATTACAGATAGAAAACTCTTTACCGAAATTCTGCTCTGTCACATGGTGTTAGATCCTGGGAACCAAAAAAAGGGTGCCCTCAGGCCCAAGAATTGTGGGAAAGGTATACACTGGGGATTGAGCCAACCAAGGGTTAAATCTTAATCAGCTTTACATCTTAATTTCCCCAGATACTCGGAGAAGACATTGGTTGTAGGCAGCTGTCAGAAGGCCAAGAAAAGAGGGCTGGTGATGAGGGAACCAGGAAATTCTGCCGGTTGCCTTGTTTCTCCTTGAACTGCGGCCCATCAGAGCCTCCTCAGGGCCCCGATCCTGGACGTCCAGTCCTTGCGAGGGCCTGAATAGTGAGGAGGGCACACAGTGTGGCTCTGATCTGGTAGTAGTTAGAGATCAGCAGGCAAATCAGACAAACTTGGTTTGAATCCCACTTGGTCCTCATTAACCGTGAGCCTCTCTCCCTGCTTCTGGGCCCTCACCCACAGGACCAGGATGACAAGACCAAGTGCTTCCAGGGATTTTGGAGGGGACTGAGGGAGATGGGACAGTGAATGGATATGATGAACAGGCCCTCAATACTGCACACTCACTCACTCATTGCCATGGAGTAGGGATAGACTCCTAGCTGACCCTCCGGTGGCTCTCTGAGTCTGTAGATCACACGAGAGGAAACGGCCCATCTTTCTCCTGCTGGTGGATCCAAACCACCGGAGAAGTATCCTTTGAATTAGCACAACTCCCTACTGGCTAGGCCACCGGGGCTTCTTAGTATCTGCTCGTGCGGCTCAGCTCTCACGTCTGCTCTGAGCAGAGAATCAGCACACCAGCCTCTTTGTCTTCCTGGGAGAAGAGGGCAGCTAAAGCGACACAGCCGGTCACTCGGGCCTGAAAAGAACTTCCTCGGCATCATCATCATCATCACCCCCATTTCATTGGTGTTTAGATGGAATCAGCTCCTAGCTGACCCTGCAAGGGGGTTTTGAGGCTGTACATCTTTGTGGGGGCAGATCGCCGCATCGTTCTTCCGTGGAGCAGCTTGATGGGTTCAAACCACCGACTTTCCGGTTACCAGTCCAATGCTTACCCCACAGTGCTACCAAGACTCCTCCCATCATCCAGAAGTGCACATAAATCCACATTGTTGACAAGGATAATGTTCTTCTCAGAAAAGCATGGCAACAGGATGCCTGAACCAAGACTGGCATATTTCCTAGACTCACTTGGACCTCAGGGCTTTCAGAACCAGCAAAGGGAGAGAAGGAAGGCAGGTTGGAGCTACAGTGTCTGCAGGCCATGTCCTCTTCGACCACCAGGTGGCACTCGAAGCCAAAATAGAGATTGGATGGGAAGAGTGACAAGGGGTGAGGTGTGCAGGGAGGAACACAGGAGGGTGAGGAGGTGAGCAGGTGTGATGTCCGAGTGGGGGAGGGAGAGGAAAATGGAGGGAAGGAGAGTGCTTCTTTTACATTATTTTCCCCTTTTCTGCTTAAAGTGTCATTGCAGCAATCACAGTTCTGGGTGTACAATCCCTCAGAAATGGGATTTTGGAGTAAATGTTCAAGGGAACTGAGGGTTACCATGAAATGTCTGTCAGAGATTACAAGATTTGGAGATCTCTGTCTTACACACACCCACCCCAACATGCCCCAACACATACACACACATCTGTCTATTTGCTTGTTGGGTTTTTTTAAAATGGGAAGATCTAACAGTGTTTCAGTCACATACACACACACACACACACACACACACACACACACACACACACACAAGGCGGGTACTAACTTAGCTCCCACCTGGCCCCTGGCACACTCCAAGGTTACGTGCCTGGCCTCTGTGGGCACCTGAACAATGATTTCCTGTTTGGAAGTCCGAGCAGGAGGACAGGCCACACATTCTCTGCCTCCTGGGACAGGCCCAGAGTCTCACGGTCCCAGCTTCGCTGCCCTCCAGCTCTGTCACCATCCCTGACCGCATGCTTCTTCCTTTCTGGGCCTTGAGCCCAAGTATGTCTGTTACAGATGCCCCTGGCTTGTCTGGGGTCAGAGGTCATCGAAGGCTCCGCCCAGGCCTCATGTGGACACCCAGAGGCCTGGACGTCCCCTTACCTCGCTCTGTAACACTCTTCGGAACTTGGATTCGACGTGATTGTGGAAGAGATTCAGCAGCCACCTGGGGAGAGGACCACGGTGGACAGTCAGCTCTTGGCTGCTAAGCATCGAGCCAGAGAGAGGCAGGCCCTGGCCGCTGGCTAGACCAATGCCCATCAGGAGCCCCCTCCTTGTCCTGGTGCCCAGGATCCCTGGGGAGGGAGGCCAAGGCAGAGCCCCAAATTCCATTCCCCCACTATGATTCAGTATATCTGGATTCCTCGCCTCTGACCACATTCCAACCACATTGATGGAAGAGGTGTAGCAAACATGATTTTCTGATCAAGGACACTGAGACACACAGAGATGAAATGACTTGTCCCCAAACAAAAACCTCACTGGCCTCAATTCAGTTCTGACTCAAGATAACCCTTCCTCTGGTAGGTTTACAACATCATGATCTTTAAGGAAGAAGACTTCTCCTATGGGTGTCTTACGGATTCAAACTGCTGACCTTAGGGTTAGAGGCCTGATAAGTTCTACTCTGTGTCACCAGAACTCATATCTTGTCTGAAGTTCTGTGTATTTTTTAAAAAATTTTCCTTTGACCAAAAATGTTTGTGTTGCTGCAGTAGCCACATCTCTTTTGCTGACGAGGGTCCCATGAAGTTCTTTGTGTATGTATTACTGACTCATTAATACTATTGGTTTGAATTTGCATATATGCTCATCACTTGCCCGGGAAATGTAGTGCCTTATGCCTATCTGCTCTGACCATCAGCAGCCAGGCGTTGGGCTGTAGTCAGTGGTCACCAGGCCAGTGTCCTGGTGGTGACCTACCCCAAACTTCCAGAGATGTCCACCTCCACATCGTCGATATGGCTCACACAGGTGGAGGTTGTGACCGTGGGCCTCCCGGAAGGATCGCTGCCCAAAAGCAGGCTGATGGAAATGGTGATGCCCTTGACGCGGAGGTCAAAGGAACCACGTGGCTTCCTGGGAGAGACAGGGGAACAAACAATTGTTGATTCCTCCACCAGCATCTGTCCCCATATGTCGGGGAGTATGAGACTCAATTCTTTACTCAAATAAATACCAGATGGAATGAGCGTTTAATATTACTAAATGAGGCCAGAAGAGACCATGAAGAAAGCCTGGGTCCAGCTATTTACGACTGTTGTTGTTGTATACCATAGAGTCAGAATCGACCCATAGCTGACCCTTCAGTGGGTTTTCAGAGGTAGTTAATCGCGTGAGAGGAGATTGCCCATCCTTCTCCCACAGAGCAGTGCTGGTGGCCTCAAACGGGGCCTTCGGGATTGCAGTGCAGTGCAGCTTCTCACCACTAAGTTTCCTAGCAGGACCCAGAACTCAGAAGCCATAAGGGAAATAATCATTAAACTAGACAGTACAGGAAAGCAACACTTCTGTGAGCAAGCAAGGCCACTTGCAATGGAACCAAAGCACTTTGCATTACCAGCCGGAGAGCGGCTTTCTTTAGTATATGAGCTAATTTTCTTACTGTGCAAAGAGCAAGCCCTTGCGAATTAACAAGAAAAGGACAGAACTACCTGGCAGAGAAAAGAGAGAAAGAGAGAAAATGAGTTCAAAGATGAGCAGAAAGTTCAATGCCAAACAAGCATTTGAAATAAACCTATTTCCATTGAGTAAACGGCCGTTGACTCTTAGCAACCCTCTACAGGATTTCTGAGACTGTAAATCTTTCCAGGAGACTGTGGAGTGGTTAGTGGATTTGAACTGCCAGCCTTTAGGTTAGCAGCCTGATATGTTTGGGCTCCTAATGCATAAGAAGGTAGCCTGGTGGCAAGAAGCTGTGCTGCAGTCTTGAAAGTGCACAGTTTGAATCCACTAGCTGCTCCGTGAGGAAAAGATGGGCAGTCTCCTTCCGTGCAAACCTGCCGGAGGATCAGCTATGGGTCGGTTTCGTCTCAATGGTACACAGCAGCAACAACACGCAGATGAAGAGCTTTAAAGATGAAGATAACGATGCCACTTTTCACCTGTCAGGTTGATAAATTTTTTTTTCCTTAAAGAGAATGAAGCCTTGATTTCCTGGTTTCACAAAGGAATCCAGAATGAAGGCTGCATAGTGGAGTGGACTTGGGGGGAGGGACTGTATAACAATGAAAGAATTTTTCTTTTACTTTTCAAAGAGAAGAGCGAACTGGGGGAGGTCGTGGAGGGGGGTGGGCAGGGAAAAAAGTGCAACAATGAGTGGAAATCCAAAGTTTCTATAAATTTTCATTAAAATTAATAATAATAATAAAAAGGGGGGGAAGCTGGCAGAGTTGGTGGCTCTTTGGTTAATAGTCATAAAGCCCAAGTCCCATATCCTCATCTGATTCCTCTGTCTGTTCCTTTGTTTCCACCTTGGCTGGGGCCATGGCAGCAGGAGCAGCAGCAGTGGTGGCGGCCACGGGGGCAGCAGTGACAAACGCAGATGGATCAGCCAGGAAGGCCTTGACCTCAGCCAGTGGGAAGGTGAGCTCAGTCTCCACAGACAGAGCCAAGACCCGCTTGTACCCGTTGGTGACTGAATGGGGTATTACAGATGCTGCCATTCTTGAACACAGCTGGAGGATCAGCCCCAAGGAGCAGGGGGTGATGCTGAACCCCTTCAGCAGGGTGGCCTCACTGGCTCCCATCCTGTCTCCAGGCTTAATCAGCTGCACATCACTCAGGATTTCAGTGGTGCCTCTGGAGATCTCAGTGGTGATGCCCAAAGCCTGGAAGGAGGTCTTCTTGGAGCCCAGACTGGTATTCTGGGCCAGCATGCCAACCTCACATGATGCGATGGCATGGGCATGGACAGCAGCTGGCACCGTGGTGGCCAGCAGCATGTCCCTGATCTCTCTCTTTTTTAAAAAAATTTATTAATTTTAACGAAAGTTTATAGAGACTTAGGGTTTCTAGTCATTCATTGTTGCACTTTTCTCCCTGCCCACCTTCTCGCCCCCCAGTTCACTTTTCTCCTTGAAGAGTAAAAGAAAAACTCTTTCATTGCTATGCTATCCCACCCCCAAGTCCACTGCACTGTGCAGCCTTCATTCTGAGCTCCTGCTATGACAATAATACCTAATTATATATCCCTTTTAAACAGTTCTCTCCCTCATCTGCTGCAATGCAGTATACATTATTCCTCGCCTTCTTCTCTGTCTTCCCTCAAGCCCAATGTCAGTCCTATTTTACAATAGTGGATCTATGCAATATTTTTCCTTTTGTGACTGAGATATTTCATTTAGCACAATGTCCTCTGGGGTCATCTACTTAGCATAGTATTTCATGAGTTCCTTGTTTTTCAGTGCTGCATAGTATTCCATTGTATGAACATACCACAGCTTCTCTATCCATTCATTTGTTGATGGGATGTCCCTGATTTCAGTGAGGCCCTTTTTGGTGAACACAAGCCCTACATTTCCCCCGAATGTGAGGCAGCAGCTTCCCCAGGGCCGGATTGATGCTCAGGTGGCCCCAGATGGCCTCGTGCGTCATGACGTTCTTGCCCATCAGCACCATGGCCTTCCTGCAGGTGGACTTGTGGAACTACTGTGTCAGCCCAGAGCCCACATTGTCTGCACCCACGACGAAGCATTTTGGATACATTTTCCAGAAGCTGAATAGTTGTATGGAAGTAGTTGGACTTCCAGGTGGCCCTGTCTTCCCAGGGCATCATGGCAGATTGCCATCGGGGATTTGCCATGTGGAGTTTATAGACGATGCCACTCTCACGAGCACACCTGGTGAGAGAGCTGACACAAAGTTTTGAAGTTTGGTAATAATATCCAGTGCTGGCGAAGGCGTAGGCAAACAGAAATTCTCGTGGAAAGAGATGACGTTGGCACAACTTTTTGCAACACAAATTTTGGAGTCCCTGGATGGTGCAATCAGTTAAACACTTGATGACGGGCCCGAAGATTGATGGTTCGAACCCATACATAGGTGCCTTGGAAGATAATCCTGGTGATCTGTTTGTGAGAGGTGACAACCTTGAAAACCTCATGGAGTTTTCAACTTTGCACACATGAATTCTGACCCGAGTTAGAATTGACTTGTCAGTTGGTAAGGGTTACGCTGCCAATCCAAAGGTACATGGTTCAAATCTACCAGCTGCTCCATGGGAGACAGATGGACAACCTCCTCAGTGTGATTTATTGCCTCTGAAAATTTGCTGGAGGGTCAGCTATGAGGTGGTTCTGGCTTGACAGTACACAACAACAATAACAACAACAGTACTGGTTCAATGTGGAAATTCCACCTTTCATGGGGCGGCCAGGCTCATCTATCAGTGGGGGTCTGCATGCTGCTGCCATACTGAACAGGGTTTAGTAGAGTTTATAGGCTAGAAAGAAAGGTTTGAAGATTTACTCCTGAAAACCATTGTGAGCCCATGTGTCACAGTGTTCTGATCCCCAACCCATCATGGGGTGGCTCTGGATGAGACAGCACTTCATCCCATTGTGGATGGGGCCACAGTGAGTAGGGGACCACTCCACAGCACACTGGAGCCGAGAGGGATGGGGTGGAGGTCATGGCCACAGAGCCCGAGAGCCAGGGAGCTGAGTCAACTTACAAGAAACTCTTACGCACTTTCCACCTGCCCTCGACCCGGATGGAGGAGTCGGTGATGGCCAGGGTCAGGCCCTGGCCCGGGAGGGGCTTCAGGGCAGTGCTATGCACCTCACAGCTGCGGATCTCCAATCTGGGGAAAGAGTTGGGCAGAGAGAGGCCTTGACTCAGCTTTGTGGAAACATTGTCCCTCCCTTTGGGGCTCCTTCGTTCCCTCCCTGGTGGGGACCAGGCCAGCAGGTCTTCATTTCAGGTATCTGGCTACTCCCACTTAGGGGGCACCTGCTGTGTGCCAGGCATGACCATACAAAGCACTTGGCATCATGCAGGTGACATTTAGGCCTCAAGCTCACCCTAAGGGGGCCAACAGGTCTTCCCTGCTCACAGAGGGGAATGGAGTCTCAGAGGACGGATGAACATTGCCCCTTGTCAGACAGCCAGGACGAGACCCCACTGTTCTCATGCTCTGGGTGGGACTCTGAGGAGAGCCATAAACAATCCCTTTGAGTTTTGAGGCTTCTTCCCTCAGCTATTCCCACCCTCACACATCAGAGGAGGGGAGGGGGATCTGAGTCCGAGAAGCCTGAGAGCGGCCTAGAGAATATACCAAGAGTTGGCCATCGGTGGTCTGTGGAAAAGGAATGACCGTGTTCGACTTTCTGCCTGGCCTATAGTAGGTGCTCCATAAATGTTTGCTGATCGACTGTATGAGGCAAGGAGGAGATGAACGAAAGCATTGCCAGCTGTGTGCAGGGAGGGGCTTCTGAGCCTGATTGCCCTTCCCCCATTGCCCATCCTTCGACTAATACTTCATGCCCCCCTCTTTCCCAAATGAACTATTCAAGTGTCTACTGATATTTTGGACAGAAAGCGATGCTACCAAGCCAAAGGTGGGTGACTTTTTTCATTGTTTTTGTTCAGACACTCCTCTAGGTCGTATAGCCCTGGTGTACAAGTTGCCATACAGCAGTCACTTGTGGTTGCTGTGAGGCCAAACACTGTGACACTGATGTGTCAAATGTGTTAATGGTTGGCTACCCACTGTGGACAGAGAGTGGGGTGAAGCTCCCCAATGAAAACAAGCTTGGAAGGAGGAGTGGCATCCACTTTCATAATAGCTTGCTTCCGGAAACCCTATGAACTTGGAGAGAGGATGAAAGGCACCCAAGTGTTGAGGACTCTCCTTCATAGGGTCGCTATGAGTCGCCTGTGACTCGACGGCACTTAACAATAACAACAACTGATATTGAGAAAAAGTGTAGTTCAAATGCCACCTCCTCTAGGAAGCCTTCCTTGACTCCCTCATGTGTACAAACCTCGGCTTTAACAGTTGAGCTACTTAAAGTTTAAGGCTTATCTTCCTTTCTAGACTATTTGCAGTGGCTAGAGGGGAATTGGAATTATCTTGGTGAAGACAGTACCAGCATCAGCCCCATTTTATTTTATTTATTTTTTTTTTTAAATTTATTTTTGTGTGTGTGCATGTACCGTCAAATCAGATCTGACTGGTACAGGAGGAGATTGTCCCTCCTTCCCCGGCAGAGCATCTGGTGGGTTCGAACCGTGCACCTCTGGGATTGTAGTTGCAGTTCCTTGTCACTAGGCCACCAGAGCTCCCAGCCCCATTTTATAGATCTGCTAGTAGGTCTTCATTAACATTTGCTGCATGCATGAATAAGAAGAGCTTAAGTTTCTCCCAGAATATCCTCCTGAACTCCTTCTGAGCAGAATCTATCCCACCACCTGCCTCAGAGGGCTCCCCCGGCCCGATTCTGGGGCCCCAGTGGAACAGAAAGCCCCACCTGGAGAACTCGTAGTGTCCACTGCCTATGTGCTTGATCTTGAAGTCTCCACTGAAGTCAGGCAGCGTGATCTTGTACAGCTCCCTCTGCAGGGCCAGTAGCCCCTCCTTGGCAGCTGTGGATACGAGAAAGAGCTGGGAGTCAACATAATGGACCTACTTTCTTCTCCTGTTCTAAAGCCTTCAGGGACTCCCACCTACCCTCTGGAGAAAGGCCAAATTATTTGAAAATTTATTTCAAGAATTCATTGTTGAAAATCTGTGCAGCAGATCACATACCATTCCAGCAATCTTCTAAGTATACACTTAAGAGATACTAATGACACTCTCTAGGTTTTATTCTTACCCTTTTCTGAGTCTCTCTGCCCCATTGACATACATGCACTCTCCCCTCAGCTTCCATAGCTAACCTTTTGGGTTGCTGTTCTCATCTTTGAAAGGACACAGTATTCAGCACAGAGAATCTTTACTAATTACACGAAACTGGTTTAAACAAGACTTCAGGGGATTCTTCTGGCTTAAAGTTGCATTTCTTCTTTTTTCTCCCCCCGACCAGTTGGAATTTTGTCTTGTCTTGCTTTCACTGTGATTTGAAAGTTTACAAACCGTATTGGTTTTCAATAATTCATACAAACTTATAAAACAAGTGAAAATTACTTCATGCTTTTGATTATGATGTTTGCTCAATCATTATTGTGGAGTTTCCTTTCATTCAACTCTCTCTCTCCCCTCCACCAGCAGTCAAGAGCTCAAAAGACATATTGCATTGGGTAAAATTGCTGTCAAAGGCCTTGCTAGGGAACAATGATGTCAGTTTAAAGTCTGAGGTTTTTCCAATTCAAGCCATGGTCTTTTCGATTTCTTGTTATGCGTCTGAAAGTTGGACAGTGAAGGTTAAGGATGACAGAAGCAGCATTGATGCATTTGACTTGTGTTGGAGAATAGTACTGAATTGTTCTGTGAACAGACAGATATGTCTTGGAGAAAGTTTAGACAGGGTGAGATGGGAAGCTTCATCTCACTATTTTGGGCATACTGATCCTTGGGAAAGAACATCATACTTGGAAACGTGGAGGAGAGTCAGCACAAGAGAGGAAAACCTTCAGTGAGAAGGATTGACCCAGTGACTAGAGTAATGGCCTCCAGCATGTCAGAGATGATGAGGATGGCACAGGAGAGGACAAGGTTCAGACCTGTTGCTCAGAGGGTCATTGTGAGTCATAGTTGACTTGACAGCACTTAACAACAACAACAACAACAACAACCACCACCTCTCTCTAACTCTACAGAGATAATCAGCTTTGTTATTGTTGTTGTTATGTGCCGTTGAGTCACCTGCGACTCATAGCCACCCTATGTACAACAGCCCTAAACTCCGCTCTGTCCTGTGCCAATCATACTTTCTCTGACACTCCAATCCCAACTATCCCAGTCACTGAATCAATCCACCTCATAGAGGGCCTTCCTCTCCTGCGCTGTCCCTCCACCCTCCCAAGCATGATGTCCCTCTCCAAGGACCAGTGTCTCCTCACAACATGTCCAAAGTAAGTTAGACGGAGCCTCAGAATCCTTGCCTCCAAGGAGCCACCCGGTTTAACCCTTTCCAGGACAAATCTGTTTGTTTTCCTAGCAGTCCATGGTATTCTCAATACTCTTCTCCAGCACCACAGCTCAAAGGCATCAATTCTCCTATCCTCCTTGGTCATTGTCCAACTCTCTGATGCATAACAGGTGATTGCGAAGACCATGGCCTGTATCAGATGCACTTTAGTCTCCAGAGAGACACCACTGCTCTTCAGCACTTTGGAGAGGCCCCTAACAGCAGACTTTCCCATGGCAATGCGCCTTTTAATTTCCTGGCTGCTGGTGCCAAGACTGTTGACTATGGAGCCAAGCAAACTAAAGCTGTGTACAATCTCAATCTCTCCACCATCCATCCTGATGCTGCCGATTGGTCCAGTGGTGAGAATCTTTGTCTTCTTGACATTGAGCCTCAATCCATATTGTAGGCTGCAGTCCTTGACACTCTGCAGCAGGCGCTTCAGGTCCTCCTCAGTTTCAGCAAGCAGGGTTGTGTCATCCGCATAACACAGATTGTTGATAAATCGTCCACCTATCTTGACCCCACATTTCTCCTCATAGAGCCCAGCCTCCCGGATAATCTGTTCTGCATATAGGTTGAAAAGGTATGGAGATAGGATGCATCCCTGGTGTACGCCCTTCCCAATTTTGAACCATGCAGTGTTCCCTTGCTCTGTTCTGACGACTGCCTCCTGGTCCAAGTATAAGTTTCGCATTAGAACGATCAAGTGTTCAGGGATTCCCATTCTTCTCAGAGTCAGCCACAGAATCAGCTTTAATCAACTTAAAATGCAACCACATTACTGTGAAAGTCAGAAGCAACTCCTAGCTGACCGTGCATTGCGTTTCTGGGCATGTAAATCACATGGGAGGGGATTGCCCGTATTTCTTCCGAGGAGAAGCTGGTGGATTTGAAGCAGCAGGGATTGGAGGCACTTTCAAGTTAGCATTATATCACCAGAGCTCTCTTGACTCAAATTAATAAATGTTGATTGGTATGTTGTTATGTACCATTGACTTAGAACAGACCCATAGCTGACCCTCTAGTGGGTTTTCAGAAGCAGCAAATTTCATGGAAGGAGATTGCCCATCTTTTTTCCCATGGACCAGATGGTAGATTTGAACCACGTGCCTTTGGGTTGGCAGCAAAACTCCTTAATCACTAAGCCACCATCTTTTTTTAAGTTTTGTTCCCTCCCCTCCCCTTCCTTTCTCATCCCTGGTAACCACCAGTAAAATTTTAAAGTTTACCTCAAGGCAATAGCTTTAGAAGTTCACCTAACCTTCATGGTTCCAAAAAGTCTGGAGTCCATGAGAGGTTGGATTCTTTATTAGGTATATCTCTTAATTACCTAGTATAACTATAACTGAAATACCCAAAGGAGATGACTTTGACAAACAAAATTTTATTTTCTCACGATTTTAGAGGGCTACTGTTGTGTGCCAGGGAGTGGACACAGACTCATAGCTGATCTTCCAGCAGATTTCAGAGGCAGTAAATTGCACGGGTGGACATTGCCCATTTGTCTCCTGCAGATTCGAACTGTGTGCCTTTGTGATTGCAGTGCAGCTTCTTGCCACTAGGCCACCAGATCTCCCTTTAGAAGGTTAGAAGTCAGAATTCAAGGCATGAACTCTGGAAGAAAACCTTCTTTCCCTGCTGGCTCTGGGGCAAGTCCTTGTCTCTTTAGCTTCTGCTTCCTGTTTCCTTGGAGAATTCATTTGTCTTGGCAATTATCTTATTCCATCTCACCTTGCTAGCTTGCATTTAATTTCTTCTATATCTCAAAAATATACACACTACACCAATCCTTTTTCACTAACATATTGACGGCAGCCTGTCCTCTACTGCGTTATAATGACAAGTATAAAGGTTAGAATTTACAACACATGATTTTGGGAGACTCAGTTCAGCCATAACAGCATTAACCACGCTTACAGATTATCGAGCCCCTCCTGTGTGCCAGCAGTCTGGGGCATCATTACGGTTTATGTTCAGGCTGACATAGTGAGGTTAAGTTTGAGCCCATTTTACAGATGAGAAAATGGAACACCTTTGCTAGCAACTCCGCACAGGGAGGAATCCTCCGTGTGCTGGGCTGTGGGCTCTTTTTCCCCTCCTCCCCGTGTAGAAGGGACTGTAATGCATTTAGGATGAGGTGGGATTAGAATCCTGGCTTTGGCATCTTTCTTACTGGGTGACCTTGGGAAAGTCTTTAGTCCTCAGTTTCTCAGTCTCTGAATGATTAACAAGATTTCCCTCACGGAGGTGGCATGGAGACTAATAATAATAATAATAATAATAATAAAAGATAATTACAAAGCAAAAATGGGCCTGAAAGATGAAGTGCATGCAGCTCAGCGCACAGCCCACAGCAGGCACTCAGCAAGCTGGAACAACGTAGCTGGGTGTGTATTGTCAATGAATGAGTAAAGACCCAAATGTTCAAATATAGAAGACTCTAAGTAGGACAAATTCTCACTGTGGAAAAGAACAAGAAACAAACTCTCCTGATTTAAGGTTCCAAGATAAATAGGATTCTTTAGACCTTATTGTGTGTTCTGAGGTTTGAGGAACCCTACTGAGTTCTGCCTATCAGATAGTTGATCTTGAGTTCAACTATCACTCAAATTTGCAGAGCAAACCTGTGATGGTGTAAATGAATGTGAGAGCCTAGAATGTATGTAGAAAATCCTCAGAATCAGGATTGAAAGACTTATTAACAACTTGCGATATGACAACAGTACAACTTTACTTGTTCAAAGGGAAGAGGACCTAAAGTGTTTACGGACAAAGATCAAAGACTACTACATCTCAACATTAAGAAAACAAAAATCAGCACAACTGGACCAAAAGTACCATTTTATAAATGAGGAAGTGTTGAAGTTGTCAAGGATTTTATGTCATTTGGATCCACAGTCAACACCTATTGTAGCAGTAGTCAAGAAGTCAAGAAATGTGTTGCAGGGGGCAAATCTGCCGTCAAGAACCTCTTTAAAGTGCTAAAGAGCAAGGATGTCAGTTTCAAGATTAAGGTGCACCTGATCCAATCACTGAGATTTTCAACTGCATTGTTTGTATCTGAAAGTTGGACAATAAATAAGGAAGACTGAAAAAAGAATTGATGCCTTTGAATTGTGGTTTTTGCTAAGAATATTGCATTTCCCATGCACTTTCCAAAGGACAAATCCATCTGTTTAGGAGGGAATGAAACTGAGGTGCTCTTTGGAGGAAAGCATGGTGAGATTTCATTTCACATACTTTGGGCATGCGGTCAGGGAGTAGCAGTTGTTGGGAAAAGACATAATTCTGAGAAAAGCAGAGGGCTAGTGGGAGGGAGGAAGACCCTCAATGAGACGGATTGATGCAGTGACAGCAACACTGACTTGGGCACGGGGGAGAGCCCAGGATGCTGTAGGATAGGACAAGGTTTTGAGCTGTTGTTCATAGGATTGTTGTGAGTCATAGTTGACTTCACTGCACCTAGCAACATGAACCGCCAGACGAGCACACAGATTTGTGCTGGAAGGACTGTCAGAATGCTTCTTCCCCCACCCCCGCCCCCACCCCAGCCCCGGTGAAGCGTTCAGACTTCTTTTTTTATTTCCATTCATTCATTGTTTCACTTTTCTCCCTGCCCACCCCCCCACCAGTACACTTTTCTCTTTGAAAAGTAAAAGAAAAATTCCTCCATTGTTTTACAATCCCTCCCCCCAGGTCCACTCCACTATGCAGCCTTCATTCTGGACTCCTGTCATGACAATAATACCTAATCCTATATCCCTTTTAAACAGTTTCCTCCCTCATCTTTTTCAGTGCAGTATACATAATTTATCTCCTCTTTCTCAGTCTCCCCCTCAACCCAGATGTCAGTCCCGTTTTACAACAATGGCACTATGCAGTATTCTTTTGTGACTGCGATATTTCACTCAGCATAATGTCCTCCAGGGTCACCCATTTTGAATAATATTTCATGACTTCCTTGTTCTTCAATGCAGTGTAGTATTTCATTGTGTGAATATACCAGAGCTTCTCTATCCATTCGTTTGCTGATGGACACTTAAGTTGTTTCCAACTCTTTGCTATTGTGAACAAAGCCGTGATAAACATGGGTGTGCATATCTATGCTTGGATGTCAGTTATGGTCTCTTTGGGGTATATTCCTAGTAGTGGAATTGCTGGGTCAAATGGTATTTCTATTTGCAACTTTTTGAGAAAGTGCCATACTGTCTTCCATAGTGGCTGCACCATTTTACACTTTCACCAACAGTGAATGCTTCTTAAAAATGAGAATGGTTCCCAGAGGTGCATGGTTCAAATCCACCAGATGCTCTGCTGAAGAAGGAGGGTCAATCTCCTCCTGTACCAGTCAGATCTGATTTGACGGTACACGCATAAAAATTAATTAAAAAAATTTTTTTTAAAAAGTGAGAATGGTGGGACTTAGTCTCACATACTTTGGTTTGTTATCAGGAAGGATCAGTCTTTGGAGAACGTTGTTGTTCTCATTATGTACCATCGAGTCTACTGCGACTCACAGCAAACTTATGCACAACAGCGCTGAACTCTGCTCTATCTTGTGCCAATTTCATTGTCTCTGACACGCCTACTCCCATCGCCCTAGTCACTGAGTGAAGCCATCTCATCCAGGGTCTTCCTCTCTTGGGTTGTACCTCCACCTTCCCAAGCATGATGTCCCTCTCCAATGACTGGTCCCTTCTGGTAACATGCCCAAGGTATGTGAGCTGGAGCCTCAAAACCCTTTCCTCTAAGTATCAGTCTGGTTTTGCTCCCTCCAGAACAGCCCTTTTTGTTCTCTTAGCAGTCCATGGCATATTCCATGCTCTTCTCTAGCACCACAATTCAAAGGCATCAAATCTTCTCCTATCATCCTTAGTGATTTTCCAGCTCTCTGTTGCATTGCAAGTAATTGCAAAGACTATACCTCATGCACTTGCTGTGAAGGGTCAAGGACTGCAGCCTTCAGTATGGACTAAGGCTCAATGTCAAGAAGACAAAGATTCTCGTCACTGGACCAATTAGCAGCGTCAGGATGGATGACGAAGAGATTGAGAGTGTTCACAGCTTCAGTTTGCTCGGCTCCACAGTCAACACTCTTGGCACCAGCAGTCAGGAAATCAAAAAGCGTATCGTGATGGGAAAGTCTGCTGTTAGGGACCTCTCAAAAGTACTCAGGAGCAACAGTGTCTCTCTGGAGACTAAGGTGCTCCTGATACAGGCCATGGTATTTGCAATCGCTTGTTATGCCTCAGAGAGTTGGACAATGACTAGGGAGGACAGAAGGAGAGTGGATGCTTTTGAGCTGTGGTGCTGGAGAAGGGTACTGAATGTACCATGGACTGCCAGGAAAACAAACAGATTCATCTTGGAGAGGATTAAACCAAGCTACTCCTTGGAGGCAAGGATTCTGGGGCTTCGTCTGACATACTTTGGACATGTTACCAGGAGGGACGGGTCCTTGGAGAGGGGCATCATGCTTGGGAGGGTGGAGGGACAGCGCAGGAGGGGAAGACCCTCTATGAGATGGATTGATTCGGTGACTGGGGTAATCGGGATGGGTGTGTCAGAGGCGGTGCAGTTGGTGCAGGATAGAGCAGGATTTAGGGCTGTTGTGCATAGGGTCGCTATGAGTCGGAAACGACTCGACGGCACATAACAACAACAACAACATGGCCTGGATTAGGTGTTCCTTAGTCTTTAAACGGATATCATTGCTCTTGAGCACTCTGGACACTATGCTCGGAAAAATGGAGTATGAAAAAGAGGATGACCCTCACTGAGATGGACTGGCGCAGTGGACTGACAGAGCTGCTACAGTAGTGGCTCAAACACAGCAGGGACAATAGCTCAGGCCTGGTCAGTGCATGTCCTCTTGCATACATGGTCACTATGAGTTGAAATTGACTGGACGGCACCCAACAACCACAGAGTCCTTTTTGTAGTTTTATACACCCATGTAACCACTGCCTGGATCAAGATAACTGGCATCCCTGTGGGACTGTTCCCTAATATCTCCTCTTGGTCTCTCTGCCTCCAGATGCAGGCACTTTTCTGACGTCTAGTTTTAAGGTGTGGAGACCTTGTGGCACAAGGGTTGAACACTTGACTGTTAACAAAAAGCTCAGCAGTTCAGTCTCACCCTGCGACTCTTTGGGAGACCCGGCGATGTGTCCCCATAAGGGTCACAACCTCGAAAACTTTAGGGGGCGGTTCCACTCTGTTATACGAGTAGCTATGAGTCAAAATGGATTCTATGGCACCAAACCACAATAATAATATTTTGGAAAAAAATATTTCTTTTGTTATTGTTAAGAATATACACAACAAAATAAACACCAGTAATTTCTACAGACTATTTAGTAACATTGAGTACATTCTCTGAATTGTGCAACTACTTTTCTTCCCCTTTTCTGAGTTGTTTTTCCCCAGTAAATAAATTTACCAACATATAGAACCTCTCTAATCTTTTGAGTTGCTATAGTCTCTGTGAACCCATATTGATAGATCTCAGAAGGGCATGATATCCCAAATAGCCATTTCTTTACTAATTACATTGAACTGTTTGGTTTTAAGAGGATTGCAGTGGATATTTTCCAGTTTAAGACTAAAAGATGATCACAGGGCATTCGTTTGAGGGGCCATGCCTTCAGAAAGTTTAGAGACCTTGAGAATTTGAAATTTTGTTCTGCATTTCTCCCTCCCCCTTCATAAGCATTCTTCTATAGAATCTTTGACTAAAACAATACCACCACTTGGCCTTGAAACTTGACCAAGAAATTTCCCAGCAGGATCTTACGGCTGACAGGGGTAGTGGCTGGTTTAATAGTTTCCTGTTGGCCACCTCTCCTTCTCCATCTCATGTTCCCGTCTTTCCTACAGTATTTTCCTGGAATCATACCCCCTCTCTTGCTAGCATGGTTCCTGGAATTGTATCTTCTCTCCCTTTCTGGAACCATTTGCATTCAAGTCAGTGTCTTGGGGTCTGCTCCCAAGTAATCTCAACTAAAACTCAGAACGTACTCAAGTTGTGCAAGTAGTGTGCAAGAGGAGACTGGGCTAGAGCGGCCTGATCCAGAGGCCACACCCCCTGGGGAACAGCGCCCAGTCCTGGTCCACCGGGTACCCAAGCAGCCATGTGTCAGGTGCACCAACCAGCCCAGCCCCACACTGTAGCATCTCACCGTACTCCAGGCCCTTGTCAGTGATCCTGGCGACCAGCCCTGGATTGGCACCGTGGGTCCATTGGGTAGAACTGAAGAGCAACCCCAGCAGTAGCGAGGGCAGGCCCCCAGCCCAGGCCCCCATCCTGGACTCCTGATGGGTCAGGACTGGAATGTCACAACTGTGGGCTGGCCCTTAAGAAGCCACAGTGTGAGAAGCCGGGGCGGTCCCTGGGGGAGGAAAGATGCCAGGAACGGGAAGGGGAGGCATCGGACAGGAACTGTGCTTGCGACACTCTTGGGGTCACAAGTCACACTAGTAAACCTGCCAGTACTACTCCCGGTCAGAAAGTGGAGGGTCTAAATGACAACCACCCCACTCCACTATCTCTAGAAGAAAAAGACCCCACGCCCTCCCTGAGAGGTTTGCCTGACCTTGACCAGTGCTCTGAGAGCTCAGCTACAGGCCTCGTTTCCGGACAAGAAAACTGAGGCTCAGAGAAGCTGTGTCACTTACTTAAGATCACACAGCAGGCAGCAGAGCAGGGAACCCAGGTCAGTCCTGGGACCATCCAAAATCTCTCTTCTTTATACTTAATTTGAAAGAGAAATCTTTCTCTTTTTTTCCTTTGGGAAACAGGGTTCTCTGAAGCCTGGTTGGTGGTTAAATTTTCTGGAAGGCAGCTTGGCAAGTTTTCAAACACCTGGCCACCCTGTGACCCAGCCTGTCCTCCTGGAACTTGCCCTGAGTACATAATCAAGTTAGTGTGCAAACACACCCCTACACTAAAACGCCCATTTCTGCTCTGGGGGTGGCAGGGCAGAAATAAGATACAGCTTCAAGTGGCCAGCTAAGGGGCCTCGGTTAAACCAGCTATGCTACAGCTATTCAAAGTAAGGTTGCAGAAATAAATGGGGTGCTTTTTTTTAATGAGGAGAGATGCTTGTGAGAAGTTGGTTATAAATGGCCCCACAAGAGTGAGATGATAGTTCTTTGTTTAAAAGAGGTTCTCATGTTGATATACCCACATGTCTTTAACAAAAAGTTAAGAGGCTTGTCTGTGGTTGGGTAAGTAACTTTAGGGGTGTTTTAAGACCCTTTTTGCTTACTGCTGTTTTAATCTTTATTTGGGGGGAAGGGCGTCCTGGACATGTATTATATTTATAGTGTCACTGATTATGAAGATGGCACAGGATTAGACAGTGTTCCATTGTGTTAAACACATTGAGCTACACATGGGAAGCTCTGGGGCATAGTCCTTGGGAAGTCACAAGGCCTCGCCTCTCTCTAGCGGTTCGAATCCACCCATGCCTCAAAGGGAGAAAGATGAGCAGGCGCTCTCCTCCCGTGCCGTTTACAGCTTTGAAAACCCATTGGGGCCGGGAGGTCAGCAAGGAGTTGGTTCCAATTGATGGCAATTAGTTTTGAGACAAAGGATCACCGTGATCAAGAGCTGATGGTAACTAACTAACTACAGCAACAACAATGTAGTGAATACAATTTTGTTCTGGACATTTATGGAATGCTTTCTAGGCATGTGGTCTTATGTTCAGTGTGCATAAGGTCTGTGCATATCTCAGGGGAGTCTCTCACCAAGGCGGTGAGATGGTGTTGTTATTGTCTCCTCTTGAGTCAGATCAGACTCCCAGGTTTACAGAGGCTGCAAATCACTCAAGAGGAGATTGCCCATCTTTCTCTCATGGAGCAGTTGTTGGATTCAAACAGCCTATCTTTGGGTTGGCGGTGCAACTACTTACCACTAGGCCACTGAGCTTTCTAATCCTGAGATAGGCCTTATTGTTATGAGAGAAGCCCAGGGAAGTTAATTGTAGGGAATTTAATTACATTCGCTCCTTGACCTTGACATTCTAATCCCCATTGTTTCACTCTCTTACAACATTCATATATGCTAATAAAACAAATAACAGGTTTTGGTTTTTGTCTTTTTTTTTTTGTTTTTTTTTTAATCATCCTTTATAGACTGTAACTGCTTGCTAGAATGGCAGGGAGGTTTGGGGTATTTTCCCTGCTGTTCACTGACCATTTTGAAACATATGGAATAATGTTCGGCACATAGTAGGTGCTCAGTAAATACTTGTTGGCAGCACAAACTTGTCCAAGGCTGCACAGCAGTAGAAGGCAGAGCCTGGATTCCCACCACCCAGTGCGTCTGTGTCTCACAGAAGCAAAGAGAGAAGTGGTCCTGCTGGGCAGCAAGGATGTGTCCCGGTGTGCCCAGGTCCATCTGCTCTCTGAGGTCCAGCCTGCAGAGGTGGAGAGGGGGCCTGGTCCCAGAGTCAGGAAACCTGGGCTCTGTCTGGTGTAGCCCCACGAGACCTGGGCCAGCCTTTTCCTTTTCTGGGACTTGTTGGCTTCCTTTTAAAACCAGGTGGGGAGAGCAGGTGATTGCTAAGGGCCCTTCCAGCTAGAAGCACAGAAGACAGTCGGAGAGAAGGGGCCTCCTGAGGCTTATGAGCTGGTGCCACTTTTCATCTGGCAGCACTACCAGAATGTCCCCATATGGGGACTTTGTGCCCCAGCCAGGCCTTCACCCCCACAGGTGCTTGCCCTCTCCCATCAGAGGCCCCAGGGAGCAGTATGACCTCAAAGCAAGCCAGAGCCCTGAGCCCTTCCCCTGTCTGGCTGTCCCTTCACCTCCAGGAATGTGACAGCCAGCCACCACTGTCCCTGACACCACCCTGTCTTATGCTTGTGAAAACACACTCCTTGTCAACAAAGATGGTATTTAGTGTATTTGGATTGCAAAAATGCTGGTTGATTGGAAATGCCCAGAAATTGGAAACCACAATGCCTGAACATTAGCCAGCACATAGTTTAAAACTTATTGAAAGAATGCATGTGAAATAGAAATGGTTTAATCAAAAGCATGGTGAGTACATAGATTATAGGGGCAAATGGCCTGGGTTTGAATTCTGAATCACCCACCAGAGACCTTGGGTGCTCTGTGGCTCAGTGTCCTCATCTGTAAAATGGGGATGGTGGTAACGACTTCCTCTTATGGCTGTTATGAAAGAAGGAGTCCTGGTGCTGAGAAGGCTGAGTGCTTGGCTGCTAACTGAATGCTCAGTGGTTTGAACCCATCAGGTGCCTCCCAGGAAGAAGATGTGCCAAGCTGCTTCTGTAAAGATTACATCCTAGCAGACCTTATGGGGCTGTTCTTCTGTTTCTTAGAAGACCATGATGAGTTGGAATCTGTCCACCAGCATACAGTAATAACATGACTGTTAGGAGTATTAAGTGTGTTCAGGTGCAAAGTGCTTAGACATAGGCCTGGTGCATACAAGATCTAGACAAACACTACTTAGAGACAACAGAACGTGCAGCTACACTTCCTATCAGAAATATTCTGTTTATATATTTATGTTCTGGTATCTTGTCTCTTAAACCTACTGTTGCAGGTTGGGTTCCCTAGGAAGTGGATCAATTATCATATTAGCCTTGTTGTTGTTGTTATGTGCTGGTGATTTGGAAGCACCTCATAGCTGAGCCTCCAGTGGGTTTTCTGAGGCTGTAAATTGTGCTGGAGGAGACTGACCATCTGTCTTCCACAGAGCAACTGGTGGATTTGAGCTTCATACCTTTGCATTGACAGTGCAATTCTTTACCACTAGGCCACCAGATGCTGCAGGAGGTTTATTAGGAAATGCTCTTGGGGTCAACAATGTGGGAGCAGAGAGTAGAGAGAAGAAGAGCTTAGACTGCAATGCAAATGCAACAAAGCCTTAGCCAGCTTGATGGGGAGCTAGATAATGATGTCAGTAGGGCTGGTGTCATTCAGAGAGCTGTCACCTCTAGCCACTCATGGGCCACTTCCCATACCAGACGCCCTTACTCATCTTTATTATAAATTTTATTCCTAGAATAATATGTTGTTGTTATTGTTATGCGCCGTCGGATTGCCTGAGACTCATAGCGACCCTATGTACAATAGCCCTAAAACCTGCTCTACCCTGTGCCAATCTCATTGTCTCTGAGCTCCCAGTAGTCACTGAATCAATCCATCTCATCGAGGGTCTTCCTCTCCTGCATTGTCCCTATACTCTCCCAAGCATGATGTCTCTCTCCAAGGACAGGTCTCACTTTGCAACATGTCCAAAGTATATCAGATGAAGCTTTAGTTATAATTGTAAACTGCTTAAATGCAATACATCAGTAAATAGATAGTTGTTGTGTACCTTTGAGTCAGAACCAACTCACAGCTGACCATCCAGTGCATTTTCAGGGGCAGTAAATTGCACAGGAAGAGATTGCCCATCCTTCTCCTCTGGAGCAGCTGGTGGATTTGAACCACGTGCCTTTGGTAGGGCAGCAGAGCGTCTTACCACTATGCCACCGGAGCTCCCTAAATAGATAATATACATATATTAAGTTGAGTGAAGGGAAAGGCAACATATAATTTAAAAAAAAGAATATTTCTTAGATTATTTATATACTAACAACGACAAAATAAAAAAGAACATTCTTGAAATTAGACCAATAGGCAACATCACGATAGATGAGAAATACTGAAGATGTATGATTTTTATTTTACTTTCACATTCAACATTCACATCCACATTCAACAGCAGTCAACAAATCAAAAGACGTGTTGCATTGGATAAATCTGCTGTCAAGGACTTTTCCAAAGGGTTAAAGAGCAAGGGGTCGGTTTAAAGACAAATGATGATGTTTTCAGTTGCTCCCTATGCATCTAAAAATTGCAGAGTGAGGAAGGATGACAGTAGAAGAGTTGATGATTTTGAATTACAGTATTGGAGAAGAGTACTGAACATCCTGTGAACTGTCAAAAGAACAAACAAGTCTGTTTTGGGGGAAGTGCAACCAGCCTGCTCCTTAGAGGCAAGGATGGTGAAACTTTACCTCACATGCTTTGGCCATGGAGTCAGGAGGGGCTAGTCCCTGGAAAAAACAAAGCGCTGAGGAAGATGAAGGGTCCGTGAAAGAGAGGAACATCCTCAGCAGCGTGAACTGACGTGGTGACTGTGACAACGGACTTGAGCATGGCAGAGATTGTGAGGATGACGCAAGATAGGACAGGGTGATGATCTGTTATTCACAGGACTGTGATGAGCTGTAGTTAACTCAATGACACTTAACAAAAATAGCAAAGAAGGCCCAGTTGT